AACATAAGAAAAGCCGTGCTGAATCGGGCCACTGTTCATCTAGTCTAGCTTATTGTTCTCACAGGTGCCAAACAGGTACCTGTGGGAAACACGAAAGCAGGATTGCAGCAGAAGAGACCTCTCCCATCCTACAATTCACAGCAACTGATATTCCCAAGCATACTTCCTCTGACATGTAGAACATAGTCATCAATTAGTAGCCACTAAGAGCCTTCTCCTCCTTTGTCCTCCTCTGTCCAATCCCAGGGATAGATGTTGGTTTTTCATATACAGTCGTACCTTGGATCTCAAACGCCTTGGCTGCCGAACAAATCAAACCCAGAAGTGAGCGTTTCGGTTTTTGAACGATTTTTGGAAGCCGAACATCTGAAGGGACTTCCGTGGATTCCAATTGGCTGCAGGAGTTTCCGGTCGGAAGCCGCGCTTTGGTTTTCAAATGTTTTGGAAGTCGAAGGGACTTCTGAAATGGATCCCGTTCGACTTCCAAGATACGGCTGTATATATTATATTTTCACAATAAGCTTCAAATCAAATAATTGCATTATTTCATAAGTTGACTTCCCACCCTTCACCTCCACAGTTTTCACTCAGACCTTTACTATTGCATTATATTTTGGTCAACTACAAAAAGTTTCTCCACTGCAATCATTTTGTCGTTCTCCTGCTGCTGATTTTATCTTGAATCCTGCCCGCAATTTCATCCGACTGTAATATATATATATATATATTTAAAAAATTAGTCCGCAAAAGCCCTCTATTCTTCTGCAAAAAGTTCATCCTGTTGATCTCTTCATGTCACGGTCAACTTTGCTATTTCTGCATAGTCCATTCCTTTCAAAAGCCTTTCCTCCTTCCCCGGAGGAGGACGACGACTTTGGCCTTTCACATTTCAGAGGCGCCCGGTGCAAGCCCAAAATTCAGCGCCCCCACCTCTCGCCCTCTTTTTGGCTCAATTCACTATGTCATAGCTGTGGAGCCCTGCGGAGCCCCCTAGAGTCGGCGCCCGGTGTGGTGGAACTGGTAGTGCTGCCCTAAATCCGCCTCTGCCAATCTTCTAAAAAACAACACCTATAAAATTCTATTATTAAAAAAACACCATCCGAGTTGGTAACCCTCACCAGAGGCAGATTGAACTGGATGCGGAGCCTTGAGATCACTGCAGCTATGCTTTAAAATGAAGAATGAGAGGCGCTGAATTTTGTTTTTGTTTATTTATTTATTTAATTAATATTTATTGAAGTTTCACAAAGAATAAAATCACACTGATAAAAAAGAAAAATCTGAAAATAAAGAAAAAAAGTACACAATACAAAATACAAAAAGATAAAAGAAAAAAGAAAAACATTTAAAAACAATTCCGTCTTTTCATAACTTTTTTTTAAATTTACTTGTTTCCCAGACTTCCTCATAACTCCCTCTTTTGTATTCCAATTCAGTTTGTTAGTCCAGCAATTTCTTTCCCTCCTTTTTAATCCCAATCCTTAATCTTAATATATTGTAACATTAAGTTTTTACCTATTAAAAACCAATTTTTCCATTCTTTTAACCTTTTTAATCCTAATCCTTAATCTTGATATATTTATAACTTTGAAGCCTGTACAAGCTAGAAGCCAGTTAACTTCAATCCAACATCACTCTAACATTCATTAATTTTGCAATATTTCTGTAAATAATCTTTAAATTTCTTCCAATCTTCTGAGAGGCGCTGAATTTTGGTGCTGGGTGGGGCGCAGCTGAAATTTGAGACACTGAGGTCCACCGCGGCCCTCACTACCTCCTGTAGGAAGAAGTGAATAATAATAATAATAATAATAATAATAATAATAATAATTTATTATTTATACCCCACCCATCTGGCTGGGCTTCCCCAGCCACTCTGGGCAGCTTCCAACAAAATATTAAAATACCGTAATACATCAAACTTTTTTTAAAAAAAAAGACATTCCTTTACTTTTAAAAAATTGTTTTATTCTATGCTATTTTATTATGAAAAAGCACATGTACATTTGCATTACCTTAAACTGTCACTAAGCATGTATCTGAAAGTACTGTCCTTTCTGCATATCCCAGTTTTAAAGTAATACATGTGTTTAATGGTAAAATCCTTTCTTCCTTTTGTCTGTAGGCTTGCCAACTCCCCCCCCCCCGCCCAATCAGGCTCCGCTGCCTTTAATAAAGGCACAGTGGGAGGAGAGAAACAGAGAACAGCTCTCAGTCGCAAAACTTTTAACAAGGCATTGTCAATAGTGGGGGTGAGGATTGACCAGAAACAGGAAACAGGAATATATTGCGGCTGCTGTGACCAAGAGGGTGCGCTAGGACAGTTTATTGCATTGGGTTTTATTTGACAGTGACGGTTTTATTGAAAATTGAACTGTATATTTAAATCTTTGCTATTGATCAAGTTGTGAGTTTTCTTTTCATGCAAGTAGCCCTGAGAAGGCTATAGCCTTGGGAGGTGGTTTAGAAATATATGAAGATAATTATCATCATCATCAGTGCTATTTTTCTAGAAAAAGAGGTGCTGGAACTCACCATGAACACCTCACTTGTTCTCTTAGAATGGCAGTGGCACCAACTGAGAGGTGTTAGAACTGAGTTCTAGTGAGTAAGTAGTAGTAGTTGTAGTAATAATAATAATATGGTGGTGGTGGTGATGATGTTGTTTTGGTATTGAGTTGTTCTTGGTCACCCTGACAGATGACGTTCCCCTGGGTCAGGGGGCTCCCCTGGGGAGAGGACCCTATTGCTCCTGATGGACCTCTCAGTAAGTTTTGATTTCCATGGTGACAGGATTACAGTGGTCCCTTGGGTTAAGTACATAATTCGTTCCGGAGGTCCGTTCTTAACCTGAAACTGTTCTTAACCTGAGGTACCACTTTAGCTAACGGGGTACTATTTCTGGGTTAGCGGAGTCTGTAACCTGAAGCGTCTGTAACCCGAGGTACCACTGTATAGACTTGGAAGGGACCCAATCCCTGGCCGTTTCATCCGACAAAGTGGGACTGCTACTGCTGCCCTGCTTCAGCTTGGCACCGAGAGAAAAGAGCCCTTTAAAATAGTTTTCTGTGCTTGGTTGCCAGGTCACGTGACTGAACTGAACAGGCTTAAGATACAGCCTAAGTCTCTCTCTCTCTCTCTCTCTCTCTCTCTCTCTCTTTCTCTCCCCCCCCCCCGCCAATCTGCTCCCACCACAGCCCTGGGGACTTTTGGGGGGCTGAGTTTCCACTCTGCTCAGGCTGAGCCAGGATGAACAAGTTTGTTATCATGTTACAATTATACCTCATGTTATGTGTGCTTCATGTTACGTTTTTTCAGGTTGTGTCCCGCAGCGACCTGGAAGTACCGGAAAGGGTTACTTCTGGGTTTCGCCGCTCGCACATGTGCAGAAGCGTTAAATCGTGCCGCGCACCTGCGCAGATACGGCACTTCAGGTTGCACGCTTTTCATGTTGTGAACGGGCCTCTGGAACAGGTCCCGTTCGCAACCAGAGGTACCACTGTACGTGTTTTGGAGTATTTATACTGTAAACTGCCCCTGTGGTCCTCAGATGAAGGGTGATATATAATTTTTTTTAAATGCCAAAAATAAAATAAAGTTGTGCCTTTGTATCTTCAGCTGACCTGGGCCTGAGGACGAGATGCTGGTGGAGATCTGCTGCATCCTTAGTGGTTCATCACGGTGCATCTTGCCATAGGATTGCACTCCTCCCAAGCAAGCCTATTATTTCTACCAGAGCATCAATGTGCCAGAACATCGCTTGATATCAAGTAGGGGCCTTCACTGTACTCTTTTCAGAAACTGCTAAAAATATTTTTGTTTAGGAAACTCATCCCAGATGTTTGGAAAGCTGATGTGAGCTTTAACCTGGTTTTAGTCTGTTGCTATTTTAACTTTTCGAAAGCCTTAATTTGTTCTTAATTCTTCGTATAGATCATTTTATTCTTTTAACTTCTTTGTAAACTGTTTTGAGCTTTGTTAGGGTTTTATTTTTCCCCAACCAAGTGGTGTATAAATTTTCTGAAATAATGAATAATAATGTACAACAGTTGCACAAAATGGCTGCATGGGCCAAAAGCATACCCTCTAATATTTCTCTTGTGAAAATCAGGACACTCCGTTCTATTATTATTATTATTATTATTATTATTATTATTATTATTATTACCATGTCCATCTGACTGGGTTGCCCCAGCCACTCTGGGTGGCTTCCAACATATATAAAAACACAATAAAACATTAAACATTAAAAAACTTCCTTATACAGGGCTGCCTTCAGATGGCTCAGGGGCCAGAAAACTCCATACCCTCCGACATTTCTCTGATGAAGGCAGCCCTGTTTAGGGAAGTTTTTAATGACTGATCTTTTAATGTATTTTCAATCTTCTGAAAATACGCAGGTGGCGCTGTGGTCTAAACCACTGAGCCTCTTGGGATTGCCGATCGGAAGGTCGGCAGTTCAAATCCCCGCGACGGGGTAAGCTCCCGTTGCTTGGTCCCAGCTCCTGCCAACCTAGCAATTTGAAAGCACGCAAAAAATTGCAAGTAGATAAATAGGTACCGCTCCAGCGGGAAGGTAAACGGCATTTCCGTGCGCTGCTGCTCTGGTTTCGCCAGAAGCGGCTTAGTCATGCTGGCCACATGACCCGGAAAAACTGTCTGCGGACAAACGCCGGCTCCCTCGGCCAGTAAAGCGAGATGAGCACTGCAACCCCAGAGTCGTTCACAACTGGACTTAACTGTCATGGGTCCTTTACCTTTACCTTTTCAATCTTTTGTTGGAAGCCACCCAGAGTGGCTGGGGAAACCCAGCCAATGGGCAGGGCATAAATAATAAATAATTATAATTATAATTATTATCCCTGCCCCACCAGCTCCAATGGGCAACTGCCACTATTGTAACCAATAAAACAAGTTCAGATAAAAATGTCCATGGAGTCACAGAGATGGAAGGGACCACAACGGTCATCTATCCCAACCCCAGCAATGCAGGGATCTTTTGCCCAACGTGGGGCTCGAACCCCCAACCCTGAGATTACAAGTCTCATGCTCTACCCACTGACCTATCCGCAGTCAGGCTTGTGCGGTGAGTATGAAGAAATAGCAAAGCTTCACAGACGTTTTCCAGTTTATATGTCTGCATATATGTGTATGCCATGGATATATTTTCACACACACTCACACACGTTGCAAGCAGTAAGTTTAAACTCTCAGCATCTCAGCCTCTTACGCGCCATACAGTGGCTTAGGACTTTTAACACTCACACACACGCCAAACTCCTGAATCCAATAAAATTGCAAATTTTGCTGTATTCCACAATATCCTAAATAAACATGAACAGCGTGCATTTTCTCTTCCTAGCATCAAATATTAATCTGTCCGTGGTTGGAAATGCGCTTTCCATCTTGCGTGTGCTTGTGTTGGGTAAACACTCGGGAGATTGCTATTCCGAACCTTTCATTCCTTCCTAGAGTCAAGAGCATGACAAATTTCCTTCCTAATTACAGCCGCCACTGTTTGCCTTCTAAGACTGTAAATCCTCCATCACATCGGGGCTTCCCCCCCTGGCCTTCCCCCTCCCCCGATTCAGGATTAGGCTCCTTTGCTGTTGTACAAATTACTCGAGGGGCAAATGTGTAGTTGGCGATGGATCTGGGGAGTTGGCTTTTGTGGGGGTGAGAGAGCAGGGGGTGGCAGCAAAGAGACTGGCTTCAGGCCTGGCTCCAGAGTGGTTCAAGGGCTGAGCCAGTTTTCTGGTCATTCAAAAGAGACCTATGCTAGAGATTGTAGAGTGGTAATAATAATAATAATAATAATAATAATAATAATAATAATAATTTATTTGTACCCCACTCTTCTGGCTGGGTTTCCCCAGCCACTCTGGGCAGCTTCCAATAAAGATTAAAAAATACTGTATCTTTTGCTCTATAAGACTCACTTTTTCCCTCCTAAAAAGTAAGGGGAAATGTGTGTGCGTCTTATGGAGTGAATGCAGGCTGCACAGCTATCCCAGAAGCCAGAACAGCAAGAGGAATTGCTGCTTTCACTGCGCAGCGATCCCTCTTGCTGTTCTGGCTTCTGAGATTCAGAATATTTTTTTTCTTGTTTTCCTCCTCCAAAAACTAGGTGTGTCTTGTGATCTGGTGTGTCTTATAGAGCGAAAAATACGGTACATCAAAATGTCACACAGCGAGGGAACCACCAGAAGGCCCTTGGCGCTGGACCTCAGCATCTGGGCAGAACGATGGGGGTGGAGACGCTCCTTCAGGTATACTGGGCCGAGGCCATTTAGGGCTTTAAAGGTCAACACCAACAAGGGGTCACCAAGGGTTATCTAGTCCAACCCCCTGCAAGGCCTTGACCATCCAACCCCTGTTTTACCACCACCTTCCGAGGTTGTCTGTTCCGCTGCCCAACAGCTCTTGCCATCAGAAAGCTCCTCCTAATGGCAGAAGAAGTTATTAGACTATGCAGAAATGGTTCAATTGACAAATAGATTGAGGGGTAATACAAAACAATCATTCATGCAAAAATGGGATATGTTCAAGAAATACCAACAAAAATATAGCAACGACATAACATCTATGGCAGCGTTTGAATGACCCTTGTGTAAATTAAATATTATTAAATAAGGAAAAATGGTGTGATACGTTATAAGAAAGTACTAGAAAATATAGTAAGAGTGAGGTAAGAAGTATAAGTACATTCAGTGTTGTAAATGTAACTTACATCGGGGAAAAGTCTGTTTTGATATAATTTAGTTTATTACATTTTTACTTTGGTTTGTTTTTGTTTAGTTAGAAAGTATAAGAAAAGAGCATGTACAAGTACAAGTTTAAGTCAATATTTAACGATATAATTATTTAAGGTTGTTATTACTATTATTATCAGTTTTACCCTTTCTTTGTAAGATTGTGTATGGATGTCAATTAATAATAATAAAACTAAACAAAAACAGAAAGTTCCTCCTAATGTTTATTTGGAATCTCCTGTCTTATAATTTGGATCTATTGCTTAGGATCCTAGCTTCCATGCTACAGATGGAACCATAGACTACTAGTCGTCTTCTTCTTCTTCTTCTTCTTCTTCTTCTTCTTCTTCTTCTTCTTCTTCTTCTTCTTCTTCCTGGGCACATGGGCAATCCTACTCTATCAGGGACCACCTGAAGACGAGGGTGACACCACTACCTGGCTATGGGAGCTGACAGAAATTGAGGGCCAGTGAGGGCGATTTTCTTCGCTGATTCAGCAAACATTCTCATCCCAAAGAGAGAGTGAGAAAGAGAGAGGAAGAGACGGGGCAAAGCTGTTCTTCAACGTTGCCAAAATTAGCCCCCTCCCCGCAAAATAAAAACAAACAGCACACAGTTTCAGCTTAGCCTTTGTCGTAAAGGCCAAAAGGAAGCGTCAATCTAGTGTTTGGGTTGTGTGTTTTTTTTCAGTGGAGGTTTCAAGGCACCCCTCTGGCAGTAGGGGAAGGCCGTGGCAGGAACTCAATTGCCTTCAGGGCATCTCTCGGGTGACCCCGAGTAGGCCGTGCGCAAACAGCATCCTGGCCTTTCCTTGCCGCGTGCCTGTCGCAACCCACAGCGTGAGATCCGAGAAAGGAAAGCAGTGGGAAGAAAAGGAGCTTGACCCAGAGAAAATGAGTATCAGGGTTTCTCTCGCGCTCTCTTTCTCATGGGCTTTTGGATATATCAGCCTTGACTTTGACTGCTTGACACACACACGCGCGTACACCAGCCCCAGGAACCCCGCAAAGCCAGGCTTCCCTCTGGTCCTCCTTGCGACCAGCTAATCAACACATCCGACAGCTCTCTCTTTCCTGCTAAGCAGCTTGGCCGTCTGCGTCTCTCCTCTGCCTTTGGAAGGAAGGGCTGAAGGTGGCGCTGTGATTTCTGACTCCGATAACAACGGCTGAGGAGTTTTGCAAGGGCAAGGGATCCTGTGTAGGCCCAGATCCAGGTTTGATCTCTCCCCCCCCCACATAACTCCCCACTGCCACTAAGCTCTGGGGGCAAAGTGGTGGGCAAACTGTGCCCCTGAAGGACACAGCCTGGAGGTCATTTTGGACTCACCGCTGTCCACGGACTCACAGGTCAATTCTGTGTCCAGGGCAGCTGTCTAACAGCTCCATCTGGTACGCCGGCTGAGACCCTACCTGCCCGCGGACTGTCTTTCCAGAGTGGGACACACTCTGGTTATCTTCTGCTTGAACGACTGCAATGTGCTCTACGTGGAGCTACGTTTGAAGGTGACTCAGAAACTACAACTAATCCGGAAGGCAACAGGTAGACTGGTGATTGGGAGTAGCCACCGGGACCATAGAAAACCAGTCTGCTTTGGCTCCCAGTACGTTTATGAGCACAATTCAAAGTGTTGGTGTTGACCTTGAAAGCCCTAAACGGTTTCTGCCCAGTATACCTGAAGGAGCGTCTCCACCCCCATCGTTCGGGCCGGACACTGAGATCCAGCTCTGAGGGCCTTCTGGCGGTTCCCTCACTGCGAGAAGCAAAGCTACAGGGAACCAGGCAGAGGGCCTTCTCAATAGTGGCGCCCACCCTGTGGAATGCCCTCCCATCAGATGTCAAAGAAATAAACAATTATATGACTTTCAGAAGACATCTGAAGGCAGCCCCGTATGGACTATGCTCTATGATGCTTAAGTGATCAGTGGCAATTTCTGCCTGTTTCCATTTTTTGTCAGACTTCTCCAACATGCATCTGATGGAGACCGAAAGTTCAGAGAATAAGTAATGTGAATATTTGACATCCGAATGTTCGGAAGGGGATTTTGATGACGATATACACTTTGTATCTATATGCCATCGAGCTACAACCAAAGTGAAGAAATGCCCGCAGCCTTTCAGAAGCAGGCTCTCTGATTACAGTTTTTCCTGGGGAAAGGGATGATCTTTTCACGCAAACTTATTCTGCAGAAAGAGGTTCCCCGATGCCATTATCAGTTTTGGCAGGCCTATCTGTTTGTGGCGGGCTAGGACCAGCGCACACCGAGGGTGCTTCTCCAAAGCACCCTGAATTGATTGTGACTTGATTGCGGTTTTCACGTCTGCAACTGTGACCTAGTCGTGACCCCCCGGAGATAGCAAGTCATAGAAGACAAGCGAAAGGTTAAACGTTCTTGTTCCCAGCCAAGATGGAGCCAATCATTTTGAAGAGACACCCTCCTTCTGGCCTTTAATTGGTTCTTTGCTGCCTAGGCCCCTATTGGGTCCAACAGATGGTTTTTTAGATGGGCTTTTCAGAGACTGATGAAGTAATCAGGGCCAGTCTATTGAAATCTTGGGAGCAAGGGGGAAATGTTGACTAGAGCTGAATTTTTGGCCAGAAGCAGCGGAAATAAACCTGTGTGTGTGCATGGGGAGAGGCAATATTCCCCCGCTTCTAATTTGCAGAATCATTCCTGCATTTTTGATGCACCCTGCACTTGATATCAAGGAGGATGACCTTTTGATCTGCAGCCTTGTGTTTGTGGTAGCTTCCTCCTACAAAACAGTTGTCACTTGGGGTTCAAGGTGATCAAGAGATGAATGCACAAATGTGAACTAGACCCAGAAGGATAAGGGACCTGAAAGAGAGAGATGTACTGCAAAGTATTGGGACTACTGTATATTCTTTACTGAATAATAAAAATCATAACGTTATAAGTGTGCAAGGTAAAATAAAATGTGAAAGGGGGGGGAAATGTAAAAATGTAAAAAAAACCCCAAACCCTACAATAACAATGTTGCAATTTTTTAAAAAAATATTTTTATTAAACAATTTCAGCATAACAATTTTTCAGTCCAAATAATCAATTACATTATTTGCAGGAACTTACCGCAGCCAATCAGAAGCCGCGATTTGGTTTCCAAATGTTTTGGAAGTTGAACGGACTTCCGGAATGGATTCTGTTCGACTTCTAAGGTACAACTGTACTCACTTACCTGCATTGCAGAGGCTTAGACCAAATGACCCCTTGGGTGGCTTCCAACTCTACAATTTGATGATTCTGGGTTGCATCAAACTACATCTGAGTAAGTATGTATGGGATCACACTACAAGATAGTCTTCCAAAG